TGATCTCAACAACTTCTTGGATACCATGGTCTCAATCTTTCCTATCCTACTTCCACTCGAGGGATACTCGACCAGCGTTACGGTATCCGGTAGCAATATTAATTAGTATTTTTTTTCTGAAGATCTAAGGCTTTACTGTAGTCTGAAATATTGGATTTGTTGTTGTACGAGCATTTTTAAAAGAATTTCTAGCACAAAGGAGCAAAACTGCTTATGAAAACCCTAGCTTAGTGCTTATAAATTGCCTTGTTTTAACATTGCACATGTGAACCTTTAGCACACCTAATGCCCGCATTGCTAACTTTTTTTGCAATGTGTATTTGTTGCTGTATGTGGTTCTACCAACTAGATTTGTTCTTTGCGAGATATGTACCAATCAAACATCAAATGCTTATGCAAATTGCATGAAAGACAAAAGCTATATGTTTTTATTGAAGGGCGAAATCTGAAGGTCCGTCTTGTTCCTGTTGTTACTATAAGAAGTCGAAAGCAATGCTGTTTTGTTGCTGATTCCAGTTGTAGATTTAGACTAAAGGTTGCATCTTAATTTTTTTTTTGTCAATTTGTCGCTCATAATCCCGCTGCAGGTAGACCTTTCGAAGACGGAATTATCAGAATCTGAGTTGACCGAGCCAGAAAATTACGGTCTAGCGACCAGTTTCCGAGCAAGCGACATTGAGTACCACTTCGTCGGTCTAACCCAGGACATTCCGCAAAATTTCGTTTCATTTTAGGTGTTATGATGCGCTGATCAAGGATCTCACTGCATGGGTTCGGTACTGCTGGTCCCAAAAAAGATTCGGTCATACCCTCCTACTGGGGTCGGAAGGCAGCGGCAGAACTTCAATCGCTACGATGCTCGCTAAGAAACTTGCTAAATCTTCAAGCGCTTGTTTTTGTGCTCGCATAGAATGTAGTTGGTGGAAAGGTTTGTCGTTGTGCTAGATGTACGCTTTCATTTAATCTTAGCTTTTCAGGGAAGAATTCGGAGGCTATTGAGAAAATCATAGCCTCTCAAATAAAAGAACTTTCTATTCGGAATCCAAGCCTGTTGATTCTTGACGATATTGACTTCTTGGAATCCATCGGTGAGGAGGAGCACAGACAAATTGATATAGAAAAAATTTTTCAAAGTAAGTTATTTCCTTAATTAATAAGTAGAAATCTCGAGTTGTTAGAAAAATGCAACATTGGTCTACGTTATATCAACGAGAGG